ATCTGTTACACTAAGGCACTGCAAATGTTAAATGTGATATACATAGTGTGTAAAATCCATATTTGGGGTTTCACCTGTTGCCTCAGAACACTTCACGTTATTCCTCTACTTTAAAAGTCTATTTTCTCACAGTACTCCTTACTCCAGCACTGCTGGGTATCTAAAACTGCTGCAGGAATGATTTGTTTGACTGATTTGATCACTGAATCCATCTTTAAACCTTTTTATATTTTGTCCTTCTCCAATTCAAACATGAAAGTTTTTGCTCTCTTCCAGCAGCATCTGCAGCTTTTAGCTCCTAGGTGCTCTTGACCTCTGTTCTTTATTCCATGTCCTCAGCCCAGGCTGACACCCTTTTCAGTGTCCTTTTTCGATGCCTTCTTTTACGTAGATCTTGACTGTAAAATTAACCCAGTACTTCTTCAAATACTTCTCCAATGCCTATGCCTGTATCTGTGTGAAAACACTCACCTGAACTGGTCAAGTCTTTAAACTACAGTTTAGGTGTCCAGCTGTCTGGTAAGGTGCACCGATGCCACAGACGGGACTTGTCATCCGTCACAGGAGTGCCTTCTGGTGCATGCTCTCTTGCCTGGACAGAGTTCCCTGGGGCTACACGTGAGCTCCCACAGGTGCTCTCGTAGCAGGCTCATACAGCGCTGGCACAGCTGCCTCTGTGCTGCAGCCTGTGCCACCCTTCTCAATCCCAACTGCTTTCCTGACTCCCATCTGTATCGCCTTCTACTGCTGCTTATCCTTAAACTTGTTTTTTCAAGTAAAGATGTCCATGTTTCATATGTGTAAGCAATCATAAATATAGGAAAATAATTCAATGCCTTCCAGAATTACATTAGCCCACGATAAAATAAAGATTGCTTCTCCCTCTCAAACACTCCTCTGCCCCCTCTCTTTTATTCATTCTTCTCCTTATATTGAGGATGAAGAATTAATCTTTCTTAGTACCATGAGAGCAACATGGATTTTCATAATCTAAGTAATAGGTTTTTTTTCTTTTCTTTTCTGTCTAGAGGCAAATATTATGCTAGTTTAGAAATCTCCTAGTATTCTTTTTCAAAGTCAATTTTTTAGTCCTCTTTAAAACAAAAGCAGTACCCTGTGTTTGTACGGGGTTCAGCACAGACCTTAATCTTTTCTGGACTCAATTTGTACCACAGTATAAAGAATAATGTCTGCTCTAAAAGGCAACTAATGTTGACTAATGTCATCCATAGCTTTTTGTCTTACCAAGAACTTTGTTCTATACAAGCCCTGGGTTAGCTGCCACCCACTGACACTTTGGAGGTTAGGCATCCCAGACTGTGCTCTGTCACATGTAGAGTACCAGAAGTAGATCTGTGCTTTCAGAGTTTGCTTCCCACATCTGGAACTGCTGGAGTGCAATGGCTACACACATCAGAATCTGTGTTTTTCACAGGGGACAGTCCAGTCTCTCCTGCTGCCTGCCTTTGGTGACTCAGTCTCTGAACTGAGATGTCCAATGTTGGATTCTCTCCTTGGATGTGCCAGAGTCAGCTGCTCATGCTCATGTCTCAGCCAGCTTCTCCACAGCCAATTGCTAGTCCCATTCCTTCAGCCATTTGTGAAATGAAAAGTGTTCATGCAATGCAAACACACAGTGGAATCACTCAAGTGCCTCTAGAGGGTACTGAGCTAGGGAAGATAATACAGCATTGTGTATCAGTAACAAAATGCAGCCTGCTTGGGTATACTATACTCACTAGATGGAGGGTGCCACTTGATTTTCTGAACCTGTTGTTGCTACCACACCTTTGAAATCAATATGTATCCTACATTTCCTAACACTTGATGTACTTAACATCTGTAAAATGTTTAGAGATCCTTGAATGAAATTTGCAAACCTATAAAATTATTGGAAAAGAATTGTTTTCTGGGAATAGAACCAGTGTGTTACCGCTTTGATAATAAATGTACCCACTGGGATCTGCTGTGTAGCAGAGTTTTTTACTATATCTTCAAGCAATCAAAACAGTAGATGTGACATTTTTGATCTATAGGTACTCCAAAGACAAATACTATGCTGACTAAAAGGCTCACTGTATTGCCTGTCACAGTCCAGCTGGGAATACAAAAATGTCGTCAGTGATACATTAAACATGCAGCCAAAATAGGATGGCTTTTATCAAGTGGTGGTGCACTAAAAGAGGATTATTTGAGATGTTAGTGCTAGAATCCAGATTTAAGATTTTTGTTAAAGGTAGTCAAATGATGGAGCTGGGTTCATTCTTGTGGTGTCTTGACACAATCTTGCATCAGGTTCATTTGAGATTCAGGTAGGATGGCGAGTGATACAGACTGAGTCTGTGAGAAGCTATCAGCCTAAGTGACTAAATCTATTGTTCATCAAAATTCCTGAATACTTAATGAATGATATGCTGATCTTCCAATATGCAGCAAGCCATTTGAAGACAAACACTGCTAATTTTGGTGTATTTACCTCTGCTATCATTGGAAGAGCTGGTCTTGTGTTAAGGCATATCATTTCAAGTGATTAATGGAATGCATTGAGCAGTTTAAAAAGTCATAAACATTATCCAGTTGTAAATACTGAGATCTCTTTTTCAAATCAACAGATAAATGCATATAGATATATTTCATAGTCACTTTAGCCTTGAAATTCATACTGTTGGTTTGTGCAAAATGAAGTACAGGTTGTTGGGGGGTTTTTGGAGAGGGAAATATTTTATGAGAGAACATAGAATTAAAAATTGCTTTTACAAAATAAGTGTGAAAATAATCAGAAATTCGCTAGGGAACTTCACAAAATAGCTTCTGGAAAGGGTAGAGTGCCAAAGGATTACTATCAGGAAACTATAAGGGCACTGTTTGGAAGCTCAGTAGCTTTGTTTGTCATTCTCTTCAAATGCAAATCTTCCATAAGGGTGTTTTAGTTGTTGATTTACCCAGCAAGAGGAATTTCTGGGTAACTTATGCCTGACCAAATATACCATCTGAAAGCCAGCTTTACACCCCTGTTTATTGTAACATGCTGTTGTCTGCAACAATTTAGAAATTACTACTTGCTTGAGAGGGTTCTGTATATAGTAAGATCCTTTAGTGTCAGGCTGCTGTTTGTTTACTTCTCTAGATTTCACATGGAGATGTCAGCCCCTTGACAGTAAGCAAAGGTAAAGGTAAATGAATCTAGGTCATTCATGTGCTTGTAACTAAAGAGACTAGGCTATACAACTGGTCATCATTAGCAAGCTGAAGAAAACATTAATTTTTAAAATGCTGTCATTTCTAAGAATTTTTAAATGGTGTATCATTTAAGCTTATCATGCAAAACCAGGGTATAACCAATGGATGCAGATGAATATAAATTGATTTGGTGGCAGATGCAGATCTGCAGCTGAGACCAAAGTTTCAACTTGAAAAACAAAAGAAGCTGGTAATTCTTCACATTTCAGAAAGGCTAGCCAAAAAGACTGTTAAGGCACCTGAGAATTTTCACAGAGAAAAAAATGTACTACCATGCAAACATTATTCATTGAGGACCTAAACATGAGGTTGAATACAGAAAGAATCTCAAATTTTATGAGAACAAATGAGAGACTATTGTAAGGAACTCCAGAAAGACCAGACTAAACTATGTGAATGGGCATCACCAGGGTACACGGAACTACAAGTCGACATGCTGGGATGAATTAAGTTCACTTTTCTAAGTTCAAGTTTAGCTGCAACAGCTCAGGAGAAATACCTGTCTGTGGCTTATTGTATATTGCAGACAGTTTAATAAACACTTCCACGGTTAACCAAGCTGAAGAGAAAGTTAGGCTGTACAGAAATGGACAATTCTGCTGGAACGATCATAATGCCCTTCTATGATATCTCACCCTGAACATCTCATCCCCTCATCCAAATAAAACACAAACATGATCTGAGAGGCGGAGAAAAAAAAAAAAAAGTAGTGAAAGAGGCTTCCTTTGGGTTTGAAAAATATTGGAACAGTTAGCATTGTATTGAGAAAGTGCAATGGGCAGGCTCGTGGTGTCACCCCAGTTTCCCACAGACCCCAAGAGAGATGGGAATTCTCAGGGAAATAGAAGTTTACCATTTTAAGACTTTTTACCTCCTTCCCAATCTTACTAACATACTTATTCATGACATTAGTTTTGCATATATTAGAATGGCTCCTTTGTAATATTAACAATGCTAAAAAACTTCTTGCTGCATAGCCTGATTAGCATGCTAATTGGGCCTCTCCTGCCAAGCAGTTCTAGAGTGTTAGTTCATTCCTGGGTATCAACAGTGAAATGGTATTTAGTTAAATACCCAATTTAAAAGTTTATTTTCAGTTTTGGATGTTATTTTAAGAAATAAATGTAACATGTTTTTCTACTTCAATTTGGATATGATCCCACCCTAGAACCATACAGGAAAGTTGTGCTAGTTGAGCAAAACTTTGATTTGAGTAACATTGTGTATATGTTATGTATGTACAAACACATGAATTCAGAGTTTCACTGGATTATACACACCCAAAAAATACACCAAACCTAGGAGAGCTTTTTTTGTGACGTCCTCTTGTATCTGTCTATCTGTATGCCCCTAAATCGTTGTGATATTTTTCCTTGAGAGGAAAATTATGGTACTGAGCTTGTCACTTCTTGGGCATGGCTTATGAATTTTTTTTTCCTTAACTCAAATATATTCCAAAATTTTTTACAGCAAGTGGTGCTATTTGAAAGTAGCAGGCTCTCCTTTGATCCTTTTTAAGGGGAGAATACACTGTAATGAATAATGCACATTCAGCTAATCCAGTACCAAAAAAAAGAAGAACAAAAAAGATAAAATATAATTCTTAGATAATAACATAGGGAATTGTGTTTGAGATATAAATGAGGATTTTGAAAATGGGTAACATATTGAACTACTGTGAATAATCTGTGCATAACAGTTGGAATTATAAAAGCCCCATATTATGTCTGTAATCCTAATGTTTCTTTGCTGTTTTGCAGGCAGACCAGTAATGATTGTAGTTGAATACATGGAGAATGGATCCCTTGACTCCTTTCTGCGGGTGAGGTGCCATTTTCTGATGACATTTGAATAAGACGCCATTCTAGTTTAAGATTTTAAATCATTTATCATAAATTAACTTCTACATAATGTTATTCATTGATTTTTAGTGAAGAATAGAAGCATTTTCCCCAGGGTACATTTCTAAGGTACAGTGATACATTAGAGCATGGCTGGAAAAAAAAGAAAATTTAAACTTAAGAATATAATTGGTTTCTTCTACCAAAGTTGTCCCCATATTTAGCAAAATGTATTTCAAATAGTATTTTTATGAAGGAAAAGATAAATTGAAGCACAAATGCCTAGCCTTATGGAAGTGGTTCATTTTTCTCAATCGCCTTCAGAAATACTTTGTTATGATTTTTTTGGTTGGCAAAGTGTAGAATAGACCCAGTAATTGATTTATAATTTTTATAGTTACTTGCAATTGACAAATTGAATTAGAAAACAGTTCACGGGTGAAATGTCCTGGCATTAATTAACCCCCAAAGGTCACTAATAAACTTTAAAGAAGGACTACAGAAAGCATGAATATTTTGGCACAATTATATTTAATTTTTCTTAGAAAAGTAAAAGGAAATGATGACCCCCCCCAATCTAAACTTATCCTAAAATAGTCTCTTTGTTAACAGAACCCCTGGAAATGCCCCAGAGGCCCACTGACATAAGACCCTGTGTGAATAATTTGATTGTCAAGATTTCAAATTTTTTTAAAAAAGTAAATGTCAGCCCTTACTAGCCCACTATGTTGCCATTGCCATCTTGCAGAATGGTAAAGCTGAGGTTGTAAGCAAGGTTGTAGCTAAGGGTAGGAGGACTATGAGTTTTTATGAATTTGTTTGAAAGGGTATCCCAAGTGCAAAGGAGAGGTGTTCAACATGGAGCTGTGAAAATATTTGCGTGAAAATCTGGATGGTGGTGATTCAAGGATGCTTTGGTAGCAGGAAAAAGGAACTGCTAAGAGAAAAGTGTGAATTAATAGGAAGGAAAAAACAGCCAACACTTTAGAAAGATGACTTTCTAATCAGAGAGAGGAAGAGACAGCAGGTTGAGAAAAGAGGTATCCACAAGAGAAGAACATTTGGAACAGAGAACATCACAGCCATTATCTTAGATATTTCTAGACACTGTTTCTCACTTCCTTTTACTTTTGATTATTCCATAGTATTTTTTCTCTAACATTTCTTGTTGTCCTCTTCACCAACTCTCCCAAATAATTTTTTATTTTCCTTTGTCAAGACACATGACAGATATCTTCTATGTATTTCAGAAACACACTAGCAGCATAGTTTCTGATGAGAATTTGCTGATCTCTAAAAATCAAGTTATTTTTTTGGAGATTTTGATATCATCAAGTTCTTAGAAACTGGGTGGATTTTAAAAATCACCCCCCTTGCCTTTCTGGCTCATCTCTCTATCCATCTGCAGCAGACAGACTGCCACTGATTTGAGTACTTGAGGCTTCCTTGGTCTATAATTTCTCAGCTGTGCCCCAGGAAGACTTGGCTGGGCCTGAAACTCTGCTCCGTGCATATGCCTGTGTGTGTGCAGAATTTCACAGAAGATAATAAAACCAAATACTGAAATAATTCATGAGAGAAAATTGCCTTTCTCAGAATTGCACTAGTATGGTATCTATATTTAAATTATTCTTCACATGCATTTATCAGAATAGTTACTACTTATTAGGATACTTTAATAGAAACTGACATCAGCAAAATTATGATATTATTGTGAAGCGATGCTTCTCACATTGCATCAGATATATTTGTAGGCAAAGATGCCAAGGGGAAATATGACCTAATCATTTCTGCAGTGAGCTTCCATGCGTATTATTTTACAGTTCCAATTCACACTTCAGATATGGTTTATTCTTCTACAATGCTTTTTAAAAGGACTTTAGATAATATTCAGCATCCCAAAGCACTGCAGATATATCATTAGCATTTCTGTTAATAATTAGCAGAGCAAATGGCTGCAAAGTAACCTATTATTTAAAAAAAAAAAATCTATCTGCTTCATTAATAGTAGTTGTTTCCTGCAGATATGAGTCTACACTTTTAAAAGCTTTTGTGAAGATACAAAGAAGCAGAGAGGGTTTATCTTTAGCAATCCTAATGAAAAGTGTTCAGTGAATATAACAATTCTTATGTGGTGAGATTTGGAAGGGCTTATAAAATTGTCTGTCTGTCTTATTATTTGAAGGAATCTCTTGTTACAGTACAAAGTGTTTTTACAGAGAAGGGAAAAAAAATCCATTTCTCGCCATAAGAAATGTTTTTCCCCACACTGAAATCTGCAAAAATTAACTAGCATATCCCTCCAACCTGTCCTTCTTCAAAAGCCTGCAAAAATGGGTCAATCTTACAATTTCGAAGTGAGACTCTGTGGTGAACCATGTGAGGGTATTCCAGAAGAAAGACTACTTCATGGAAGACATTTGCCTTCCCTCCCTTGCACACCCTTGGTGGGGGATATTAGCTTTCATGCTAGTACGACTTGTGCCACAAATCATAAGCTCCAAGTAAAACTCCCCTTGACCCCAAAACCCTAAAATTTTAATAGCCTTTACTTCCTTGGTTTATAGTTTATAGTTTATAGGTAGGGAAATAAAGCACCGTGATGTTAAGTGATCTGCATAGTACTGTGCACAAAGTGTATAGCAGAGAATAGAAATTAAATCAGTTCCCCTGAATCCTAGGGCAGCAGTTTACACTCATCCTTCATCTTATTTAGTGCTGTATTTTGGTTGCAGTTATGTGACCAAGTCCCCAAACCAGTGGCTTTCTTTGCTATTTGTATTAATTAAAGAGCAAGCTCAGCTAGATTATGTCTTCCCTGCCCCACAAAAATATCCTGTATACTGGCTGCTAACTTTGCGTTTTGGGGTAAAAAATCTGGTATGCATTTGCAATATGAAGATGCTTTAGATGTATTCTTAGCGGAAAGGCATCAGCTAATTAGAACCAATTCTGTAAGATGACGGTAATTAATTACCACAGTTGTGCACCATCAGACATCCTAAATTACTGGAGACACTTGACACTACTTTCATCAGAAATCCAGCATTATTTTTGCAATTATATAAAACTCATTGCACAAGATGAAACTCAGTTATCTTTTTTTTTTCACATAAGACTGAAGAATGTAAGTTAATCATCCCACAAAAGTATGCCTGAAATTTGCTGTCAGTGAAATGGTCACTTGACCAGAAATAAGGTACATGTGACTTCATTTTTGGTAACACTTCGAAAGATTTCTCTGAAAAAGGATATGAGCTTCCAGCTTAGTATTTCTTCAGGGGCTAGAGGCTCTTCTTTCAGTATTACTCCAACAGTTGCCAGATAGAAATAATCTGTGCTTGGAAAGAAAGTGGCTAATATTTCAGCTTGGGAATTGAGGAGATCCAGGTACAATTCCCTGATACCATCTTCACACACAGACTTTGAATGGGACACGTTGTCTTAATGTTGCAGCCACTTGCCTGTGTCATAGAGATATTAGCAATCACTTATTCTGCAAGCATATGAGGAAAATACCAAACACATGAAGAGTTGAAAGGGCAGTTATCTGCACTGATAGAAAGATGTACTTAGTAATAAGATAGGATAGTTGCAGTCAGGTTTGTTTGCTGAGGCGGATATAGACTGTAGAAGACATGACGAGAAAGACAACCAAGAGAGACACATAATAATAATTTTTAAAAAGGACTAAAAACCACAAACCTTTTTAGCAAGCAGTTTGCCACTGCTGTGGGTTTGAGATGCCTGTTCTGTGAGCACAGCCATGACCACGTAAACCACATGGGTATTGAACCGCTGCTTGGTGATCTTCCTACATGACGTAAATGCAATCCCGTTTTGCTGAGGGAAAAGAGCTGAGTGCCACATTGCACTCAAGCCCATGCAGCAGTTTGGAGGGTGACACAGTAATACAGCCTAGGTCTGAATCCCAGTTTCACTCCCTTGCTATTTTTGCTGGGCACCACAACATTTCCCTCAGTCTTGCCTGTCAGATGATTGCAATAATTCCTATAATAATCCTTTTCCCCAAGGTTTGTCATTTCACCCTGACACACCCTTCCCCCCTTAGCCCAATCTCTATGTAGATGCCTCAGAGACTTACAGAGCTATTGAAAGTTAAATCTCATCTACTGTTTTCTCAGCTCCATCAAAAGGGCCATTCTTGGCTAAAATAATTGTATTTAGCATCACATAGGGAGGAAAGGGGTGACTAGGAGGCTAGGTGGCTTGTATGTTTGGGGAGGATACTGCTTGTTGGGTTCAGCTGCACAGAATGATACCTGGAGAGCATCTGCTGGCAGTGGCCTGCACTCACCCTCCTCATGTATCGTTCAGTACAGGCATGGATTTGAACCACAGAAAAGGAACGCATCTAGAAGCTGACTTTTGGGGATGTTTGTTTGTGGTTGGCTGCATAGAGTCATGTAAAATGAAACAAAAAACTATCACCAGAGTGCTGTAACTTCTGTCAGTATTTTTCTGCCAGACTGTAGTCAGTGTTTTATTCCTGCTCAGCATCCAAGGTGTGCTAGCCAATAGTGGGCGCAGTGAGGCAAGCACCAGGGACACAGCAATATTAATCAGATGAGAACTCACGGTATTGTGGCAGATTCTGTAGCAGGCCTGATACTAAAATAGTCTATCAGCTGTATCCACTGCACTGTATAATGTTCACACTTCTTCATTAGGAAGGGAATGTGCACTCTCCAGGGATCAATGTGGGAAAGAAAGCTCCTCAGGATTTACAGCATTTTCCTTTAGCTACTGTGAAGAGATAGATGTTTAAGTTTGAGAGATGCTCCGGTCTTGCCTGTTTTGTGAATCTCTGAGCTGTAGGAGAAAGGGATTCACTTGCCTGGGGTAATTGAAGGGTTGTCTCGCTTTCTCCATTGTTACTGTTTGCAATAGCAATGCTCCTCTTCCCACCTAAAAACCTGTGACTGATATATTTCCTTTCACTTCGGAAAATTAAAATAAT